GAGTTTGCTTCATTGCCGGCTTGTTGTTTTTTTCGCATGGGAACTGCTCCTGTGTTGTGTCTAACGATCACCTTGTTCTCAGGGAATGGGCGCGCAACCGTTTCCTCTAACCCGCCAGCGGGAAAGTGACCCATTGGTTCTATACCTGTTTTGAATTCCTTTATTATGCTTGACCTGCCATTCTGTAGTCAGTTCTAACAAAGAACGTGTTTAAGTGTCTTTCCAATGCTTTGAAATAAATTTTACTTTCTTTGAAACGTGGATTTATTCTCGATGCTTGGGGATCCAACACAGGTATACAAAGGAAACTAAATGTGCATTTGGTGTAGTGGTTAAGTGCGTGCACTCTAATCTGGGAGAACCGGCTTTGATTCCCCACTCCTCCACTTGTACCTGCTGGATGACTTTGGGCAAGCCGTAGTTCTGATAAGAGCTGTTCTTGAAAAAGAGCCGTTTCTGTCAAGAGCTCTCTCAGCCTCACCTACCCCACAGGATGTCTGTTGTGGGGAGGGGAAGGGAAAGGAGTTTGTAAGCCGCTCTGAGACACCTTTGGGTAGTGAAGGGTGGGGTCTAAATCCAATCTCCTCCTCCTCCTCCTTCTTCTCCTCCTCCTCTTCTTCCTCTCGGAGTTGTTCTCTCAAGGACAGTCCTCGAAAGAGCTCTCTCAGCCCCGCCTACCTCACAGGGTGTCTGTTGTGGGGAGGGGAAGGGAAAGGAGTTTGTAAGCCGCTCTGAGACTCCTTTGGGTAGTGAAGGGTGGGGTATAAGTCCAGTCTCTCTTCTTCTTCTTCTTCTCTCTATATGGCAGTGCAGAAGAGGATAGACTTCTGTGGCAACTGGTGATGCAATCCAGAAGACATCCAGATTCATTAGGGCAGGGGTCCCCAAACTTTTCGAGCCTACGGGCACCCGTGGAAATCTAACACAGCGCAGTGGGCCCAGCCACAAAAGGGCTGCCACAGAATTGCTGCTGCAGCTTACCCTCAGTCGCACAGTGAAGATCCTTGTGCTGTGGTGGCAGTTCTGCCAAAGCGACATTTTTGGAAATCGGCACAGCCAATCAAAACCTCGCCCCGCCCACTTTCTACAAACACTTGTTGGCACCAAGAAAGGTGTCAGCGGCACCGGGTTGGGGACCCCTGCATTGGGCTCAAGCACAGGAAATTAATTGCTGGTAGACAGAGACAAACTTTGCCACGAGATGCCTTTTCTCTCTTCCTTCTGCCACATGCAAACGTGGGTCCATAAAGTCTGTTCTCTACCAGATGAGTGAAAACCAGCCTTGAAGACTTCTTTATTCCTCTTATTTCAAAAGGACGCTCTGTTGGAAGGGGAGGACTGTACGTTGTCTCCTGCCTCAGAGACGGCACCACAGATTTGGAGAGACAGAAGGGGTCAGGACACAGGGCATCCTTTCCTTCCTGCTATCTGATACTAATCCTTTGATGTAGAATACTATTTTTAGGGATGAGACCTCCTTCCTTCTGGCTTAGCACCCCTCTCTGTCACACACACACAAAGAAGGAACACACTTTCCATCTTTGGTACCATGGATGCGGGATATGCATTCTGCATCTGCATCCATCCTAGCTAGTTAGATCAGATTCTAACCCTATCTATCAACTACCCTATCTCTCAACTAGACTATCTAGAATGGAATTCCCTAAATAAAAGACTCTTATTAGTTTGAGACTGACAAAAGGCTCCGTGTAACTTTGTACCTTTGCTAGTACACACAGTATCAAGAAGTTGCTGCAGCATGTAAGCCTAGTGCACTCTGCTATGTGATAAATTCTTGGCTATACCACACCAGGGAGTCTAACACACTCTGCAGTGCTATCCCAAGTCGTGTTAACACCCATGGAGTCCATTGAATTCCAGGTTCATTCTCAAAGATCCCCAACTCTTACTCCATGGTCAATTTTCTCCAAAGACGCAAGGAGAACCTCTTCCCATGTTCTCTTGCCACACAGGCACCCATTGCAAAAGATTGACTGTGACTCAGAAACAGCTCTCAGCCACCTCACACTGACGACAGTCTCCACCTTTATGTCAGAATTCCCTCCACATTCTGTCACGCAGATGAACTGGCACTCTGGGGGCGCTCAGCCCTTCCCCTGACAGAGAAATCATGCCTCTTTGGCTTCTCAGTTAAACACCTCAAGTCGACAGGGTTTCAGCACACTTACCTTTCTGTGGATTGCTCCCAGGAGGGCTTTTGCTTACATAGCGGAAGGGGCTTCCATATCCCTCAAACTGCAGGTTGGGGGCTCCCATACCCCACAAACGGCTTTATCTAGTGTAGCGGTCCCCAACCTTTTTGAGCCTGTGGGTACTGCTGGAATTCTAACACAGTGTGGTGGGCACAGCCACAAAATGGCTGCTACAAAATGGCCGCTGCAGAAGGTGGAGCCAGCCATGAAACAGCTGCCGCAGCTTACCTTCAGTCACACACAGTGAAGATCTTTCTGCTGCGGTGGCAGCTACTGCCAAAGCAGTGCTTCTAAAAATCCATACAGCCGATCGAATCTCCAGTGGCCAATCAGAAGCCTTCCAGAGCAAAAGAACCAGCTGGCCCCACCAACTTTCCAGGGCTCTTTTTGTAGCAGGGACTCCTTTGCATATTAGGCGACACACCCCTAATGTAGCCAATCCTCCAAGAGCTTACAGGGCTCTTCTTACAGGGGGTTATGTAAGCTCTTGGAGGATTGGCTACATTAGGGATGTGTCACCTAATATGCAGAGGAGTTCCTGCTACAGAAAGAGCCCTGCAAAACAATTGGTGGACATGAGGAAAGGTGTTGGCATGGCAGACACAAGGCCGAGGAAGAGTCAGCCTTCGTGAGAGGCGTGCCACATTCTCGCATTCAGCACAAGCAGTGCATCCCTCATCTGAACTGATATCCGAACACCAGCCCGTATGTCTCTGCGGTCTCTGCAAGGCCCACCGAAATATGCTTTGTGGCCTTTCTGAGCACCACCTAGCTGTTAATGCCTATGCTGAACAGCATTATGGGCAGAAAACCAGAGGCCCCCCCCCCCCCCCCAAACCCCGGTTAGGAAAAAGGGGGGTGCTGCAGGGAGACCCTCTTGCGTCGCTTATCAAGTTCCACCCCAATCCCCCCTTCCTGTGCAAGATGTATCGAGGATTCTGTGCATCACTTCGGCGTGACCGTTTCCGTCAGGTTAATCCCACCCCATTCTCGGTTCTTACCCTGTTGGAATCGATTCTCGCCCTGGAGGTGTAGATGGGGGGAGGAATGTTAAACGCCTGGGGGACGAGGTATTCTTCGGCGTCCATCATATCTTCCAGGTCCCCCTCGTCGAGCAGATTTTGGAAGAACTTGCTGTCGTTTGGGCTCGGCAGTTTCATGCGGTCATCCCCCTGGGCAACGGAACAAAGATGGAGGAACGGGAAGTTAGCCCTTCAGCTTTCAAAGGAACTTTCGGCCTGGCCAAAGCCTCCCCACCCCAACCTCGGTCTGGCCATTCTAGCTACTGCCCCCCCAAAAAAAGAGGAGGAAAAAAACTAAACTAACGTAGCAAAAAACCTCCAGAGGAAGTTTAGAACATTTATTGAGGGCCAAAAGTTAAAAATGTAAGTATAGACAAAAGAGTGTTTATTTCAAAGACATATAAAAACCTTGTAGGTGGCCCAAGTAAAGCCTCATAAAATGTTAAAAGTGACAAATGCACAAAAAGGACAGTGTATGAACCTGATGCGTTTCAGCTCACAACAGCCTTCTTTAGAGGCCAAATAGTAGAAAGTACAAAATATACCAAGCAACAATAATCCCTGTAACACATGCAAGGCAATAAACAACAAATAATATAGGACCAAAAATGGAATGTTCCAATATGGAATTGAATGACACACCATTTCTACTTGGGGTCACAAATAGATCTGGCCTTGTGACAGAAGTTGTGGCATATCCTGGAAATAATATCAGTACCAATATGCACCTTCCAGTTTAGTTCCTAAACGTGCAAGTAGAATTGCCTTATCAGGGACAATGCGGCATCAATATGTGACAGTCTAGCTACTGCCCTATATCATGCAAGGGTACACATCTATCTTATATATCCCTCTGTCAAAATATATAATCCTTTCCACACAAACAGAAGGATCTTAACAAGCCTTTTAAGACCATTAAAAAAAAAAGGGAAATGATTCTAGGGGAAACAATGGGTATATCAGCTCGATTCGAGTCCTGTAGCACTTTAGAGACACACAAGGTTTTTCAGGATATAAGCTTTCAAGAGTCAAAGCTTGGTGGTTTCTAAAAATCGGGGGGGGGGAGATTGGGGGGGGAAAGTAAGGATTTTTACAACCTTCCTGTGACCACAGGCTGGAACCTACAAATACCAATAACATCCATGATAAAACTTGCCAGAGTTCTATTCTAAAACCTGATCTCCCCCTCCCCAATTTAATAATTGCCAGCTTCCAGGGGCAGAGGTGAAACAACAACAACAACAACAACAACAACAACAACAATAATAATAATAATAATAATAGAAGAGGAGGAGGAGGAGGAGGAGGAGATTGGATTTATACCCCGCCCTTCACTCGGAGTCTCAGAGCGGCTTACAAACTCCTTTCCCTTCCCCTCCCCACAACAGGCACCCTGTGAGGTAGGTGGGGCTGAGAGAGCTCTGACAGAAACTGCTCTTTTTTCAAGAACAGCTCTGACAGAACTATGGCTTGCCCAAGGTCATCCAACAGCTGCGAGTGGAGGAGTGGGGAATCAAACCCGGTTCTCCCAGACTAGAGTCCGCGCAGTTAACCACTACACCAAATGTATAATAGTAGTAGCAGTTGTTGCTGTTGTTGTTGTAACCACCACCACTACCACAACCAGAATTATAACCGATTGTCTTCCTAAGGAGATCAGTTCCTTGGGAGAAGGTGGCTCATTCGGAGTGCGGACTCTATGATATTATCCGCCACGGAGGTCTCTCCCCTCCCCAAACCCCACCTTCTTCGGCTCTGTCTCCAAATCTCCAGGCATTTTCCCCAATCCAGAGTTGGCATGGCAAGCCAAAACGTTGCCCCCCTTGCTGAGTGCGGGACGCTATTCCAGCAGTGGACTGTTGTCAAGTCTGGATCTTTAATTCTGCTGTTGTTGTTGTTGTTCAGCCGCACGGTCGAGTCCCACCCTTTGCGAACCCATCGACTGCATCCCCCAATAGATGGGAGACTATTAAAATCATGTCTCCATCTTTTATTGATTCGGGGGATGGGTGGGTCGCCGTGTAGGTCTGAAGCAACAGAACGAATTTCAAGTCCAGTGGCACCTTTAAGACCAACACAGTTTGGTTTGGGTATAAGCTTTTGCGCACGCACATGAAAACACATACCCGGAATTAAACAGTGTTGGTCTTAAAGGCGAACTTTGTTCCATCTTTCACATTTCGGCTACAGGCAGAGACATTTGGTTGCAGTGCCCTGTCCATTCCTTCCCAGTTTGGTGTCGTGGTTAAGTGCGCGGACTCTAATCTGTGAGAACCGGGTTTGATTCCCCACTCCTCCACTTGCAGCTGCTGGATGACCTGGGGCAAGCCATAGTTCTGTCAGAGCTGTCCTTGAAAAAGAGCAGTTTCTGTCAAGAGGTCTCTCAGCCGCACCTACCTCACAGGGTGTCTGTTGTGGGGAGGGGAAGGGAAAGGAGTCTGTAAGCTGCTCGGAGACTCCTCTGGGTAGTGAAGGGCGGGGTATAAATCCAATCTCTCCTCCTCCTCCTCCTCCTCCTCCTCCTCCTCCTCCTCTTCTTCTTCTTCTTCTTCTTCTTCTTCTTCTTCTTCTTCTTCTTCTTCTTCTTCTTCTTCTTCTTCTTCTTCTTCTTCTTCTTCTTCTTCCCTCTTTCTCCCTTAGCTTCTCTGCCTCTCAGTCCCACCTCACTCTGGACCAAAAACTTTTTGGAATTTTTGGAAACCCTGCAGTGCATGCCATTGAAAGCAGAGATTGACAGATGTCTAGCGACATCTCCTGTTTCCACAGATTCGCTCGCTGACACTTCCGTGTTTTGGAACTGCCCAATCTGCCCTAGCAAAGGGGAGGAAACTTCCTAAAAGAAACGACAGAATCAATCCCTTTCGCTTTTAGCACAGTGTTATTACCATAGTGCTTAAAATGTTCTTCCTGAGCATGGAATATTAAGGTATTGGTTTTTTAATGGCTACCTTTCATTTTTTTGGGGGAAAACACTTCTTCTTTGTTGCTCACCTTTATTACGAGCATCCGCTATACTAAAAAGAAATCACTTACTGAGTAGATGCTAATAGAAGTATAACAAAGAACTTGGGTGTGAAGGAAAATGAATCATCTTATTGGGACTTCATTGGTATACGGGTTGCCCTGCTTGGCGACAATATAATCGCATTAAAAAGACCAGGGAAAATATAAAGGGGAGGAAGGTTGTCTGGAAATATACGGTGGGGAGGCAAATTAGGCCTTTAAATAAAGACAGGCTATTTTGCTGCCTTGGAAGCAACTCCCTTTAGATTCATCCTCGGCCAGGGCTCTTTTTGTAGAAAAGGCCCAACAGGAACTCATTAGCATAATAGGCCATACCCAACAGAAGAAACTCATTAGCATATTAGGCCACGCCCCTGACAGCACCACTCATTAGCATATTAGGCATGTTACCAGAAGTGTGGTTATTCAGCCACACCCACCTTTTGCTTCTTATTCTGTTTACCTTGTTTGTTGTCAACACCCAGGGCCTTTTTTTGGAGCAGGAACTCCTTTGCATGTTAGGCCACACACCCCTATTGTAGCCAATCCTAATGAGTTCCTGCTGTTGGGTGTGGCCTATTATGTCAATGAGTTCCTGCTGGGCGTGGCCAACTCCGGAGCCAGCCGGAACTCCGTTCCTGTGCGTTCCTGCCCAAAAATAGCCCTCGCATTCTTGAGAGAGAGAGATCAAGCTGGGTCGCCATGTTTGTTTGTCGGTAGCAGCAGAAAAGAGCCAGAGTCCAAGCAGCCCCTTCGAGACTAACCAAATTTGTGGCAGGGGAGGAGCTTTCGAGAGTCGCGGCTCACTTCTTCAGATTCGGCCCAGCAGCGGATTGAAGCCCACCAAATTGGGTGATCCCCCCCTCCCACCTGGGGGCTGGCACACAGTCTCAGCCAAAGCTCCCTCAAACAGAAGAGAAGAGCGAGAGTCCAGGAGCACCTGAAAGACTGACACGGTTTGTGGCGGGGAGGAGCTTTCCTGAGTCACGAAGCTCCTGGACTCTGGCTCTTTTCCACTGCTACAGACAGACTAACACGGCTAATCCGAGCGTACCACGGCGCAACCGAAGGTGCGCATGTTTGAAAAAGGGGACAAGGTTTTCGCACGAAATTATGCAAACGGGCACTTATGGCTTCCTGGGGTTATATCCGACTCTGTGGGTACTCGAATGTATGTGGTGCAGTTAGCTGACGGTCGAATATGGCGGCGCCACATAGATCAGTTAAGGAGACGTTGGGCTAGGGACAGCGCTGACTCTCCGACGGCTGAATCCCCTGATGTCGAGTGGACACCCCCAGAGCAGGCGGTGAGTACCGAAAGGCCCGGTACTGTCCCCGAGTCAGGGCAGAACCCTGTGTGCGGGGCTGAAATCCCAGTCGAGTCTGTGCCTGATCCAGGCTGTAGTGAACCCCACTCTGACCCACAACCTTGTCTGCCCGTGGAGCCTGCACCGCTCCGCAGGTCCCAGCGTTCGCGGCAAATGCCGACTTATCTGAAGGACTATGAGTGTAAATACTGTTGGAATAACTGATGTACAAAGGTTGATTGCATGTTTGTAAATAATAAAACAATTGGGATGATGGCTTAACTTAGGGGGGAGGAATTGTAATGTATTGAAATGATTACATGAATCACCTCATAGGACTCCCATGTTAAGCTTCGAGCCAGGCCAGGGCTCCTCTGAGCGAACTTCCTATTGGTCGCTTCGTAACAGCGACCAATCAGAACGATACCATTCCCTAGGAGGGAAAGACTCCCATTGGTCCTTAACTAAGCAATCTCATTGGTTGTTAATTGTAAATAGGCGTGGCTACATTAGCCCGGTTATGTTTAAAAGGAGCATAAGCTCCCACTGTTTTCTGTTCTGGTTTCTTACTGAGTTGAGTGCTTGTTCGTTACTTCCAATAAAGCTGAATCACTTGCTGAATCACTCTAAGAGTCCTTTGTTAGCGCGATCTAACAATTTGGGTACTGTTGTGATCCATCTACATGTGGGCAAACATATACACTAGTCTGTTCTTCTTCATATGCTCATGAGGGCTGCCCCTGAAATTTCTCCTAAAGTAAATTTCAAAGAATATCTAGGTAGGATTTCTGCTCAGACAACATCTGAGCAGTTTAGAGATATGTTGATTTTTTTTTTTAAGCATGAGCACAAATTCTCAGAAGAGCTCCTCTTCATGCACAAACTCCTGAGGTATTTTGAGGGACTCCAAATATTTTTTTTTAAATCCCGTCGTAGGGTTGCCAGGTCCCCCCTGGACACAGGTGGGGATGGGGGTCTTAGGGTTGCCAGATTCAGGTTGGGAAACTCCTGGAGATTTGGGGGCAGAGCCTGGGGAGGACAGGGGACCTCAGTGGGGTACAAGGCCACAGAGTCCATCCCCCAAAGTACCCTTGTTCTCCAGGGGAGCCGATCTCTGCAGTCTGGAGATGAGCTATAATTCTGGAGGATCCCCAGGCCCCACCTGGAGGCTGGCATCCCTATCCCGCCCTTCTTCCAAGGAACTCAGGGCAACATACGTTATTATCTCCTTCTCCATTTTGCACTTAAAACAGTATTGTGGGGAGAAATTAGACTGACTGTCCCAATGTGCCTCAGTGAGCTTTGCGGCTGAGGAGGCCTCTGAAGCGATCCTAGTTCGACACGCTCACCAGAGCACCACATTGGCCAAAAATATTTTCAGTCAGAGTACTGACATTTCTGAGGAGATTTTCCACACCCCCTACTGGATAGGAGCCCTGACCTGGATGGCTAGCCCGATCTCATTCGATCTCAGAAGCCAAGCAGGGTCGGTGGCCCTGGTTGGTACTTGGATGGGAGACCCACCAAGGAAGACCCACCAAGGTTGCCATGCAGAAGCAGGCAAGGGCAAAACCACCTCTGAGTGTCTCTTGCCTTGAAAACCCCATGAGGGCTCACTAGACCTTAGATCCTGGTTCAACCCCGTCCCCGAACTTACATTCTACACGACACTCGAGTTCACCCCTGTCATTATCTCGGGGTATTTTTTGTTTCCACATTACACTGAGGTCACCCCAGGTTTCACCCCACACTTGTCCCAGGATAGGCAGATGCTGTGTTATAACCAGGGATAAATGCAAGGAGTATTGTGTTGCGAGTTGGACTCTGATGAAACCAGGGATGAGATCCAAGTGCGGAAAGGACCTATACGTCAGCCGTAACTTGATGGCACTTCCCCCCCCCCACTGGATAGGGGTGAAAGAACAACACAGAAGTCCCCACCGTGAGAGTGGTTTTCAACAGGAATAGATGGCAGTCATGGAATTGGAAAATGAATTCATCTGCAGCCGTTTGCCTGGACAGCATGCCGCAGGGTTGTGTTTTTATGGGAATGAATGAAAGCAATAACATCTCGGCTGGATCACCGTTATTGAAGCAGATTCAACTGAATGTAGACATTTAAGCATCGATGACTATTCTGCTTATGCGAATTTGCCATTTTTACACAATTACTAGCTTCTCTCGGCTTCCCGGAATGACTCAATGCTGTCACAAACATATTTGTTCAAAAGAAATTTACCAGTCTTATTCCATTAAATGGCCATACAGATTTTAAAATTATTCACGGTCTCCTACGACCGCTGTTTGGAAAAAAATGTCTGCAGATGTTGGTGGGCGACCATGTTGGCCTGAAGGAACGGAACAAAGTTTGAGTCCGGCGGCACCTTTAAGACCAACAAAGTTTAATTCTGGGTATGAGCTTTGGTGTGCATTTGCACGCTTCTTCAGATGTATGCTGGGTATAAGCTTTCGTATGCACGAATGTTTCTTCAGATATGGTATCTGAAGAAACGTGCACATGCACACACAAGCTCATACCCAAAATAAAACTTTGTTGGTCTTAAAGGTGCCACTGGACTCAAACTTTGTTCTGTTGCTTCAGACCAACATGGCTGCCCATGTTGGTCCACAGGGTCAGTCTAGATAAGCTCTGGGGTTCTAATGTAACAGGGCTTAATGTAACTGTGCCTTACCGGTGTACATAGCTATGCTCTTTTGCTGCATCTGTTTTCTTCCCACTTACTTTCCCATAACAACACCTGCTGGCAATGTCTCCAAGGTTCCTCCTCTGACATCCTGGAAGAGGGGTCAGAGACATGTCTCTGTGCAGTTCTGGTCACCACATCTCAAAAAGGGCATTATAGCTTTGGAAAAAGTGCAGAAAAGGGCAACTCGAATGATAAAAGGGTTGGAACACTTTCCATATGAGGAAAGGTTAAAGCGCTTGGGGCTCTTTAGCTTGGAGAAACGACGACTGAGGGAAGACATGATCGAGGTTGATAAGATTATGCATGGGAAAGAGCAGGTAGAGAAAGAGGTCCTTTTCTCCCTTTCACACAATACAAGAACTCGTGGGCACTCCATGAAATTGCTGAGTGGTCAGGTTAGAACGGATAAAAGGAAGTCCTTCTTCACCCAAAGAGTGATTCACTTGGAATTCACTGCCACAGGAAGTGGTGGCGGCTACAAGCATGGACGGCTTCAAAAGGGAATTAGATAAGCATATGGAGCAGAGGTCCATCAGTGGCTATTAGCCACAAGGTAAAAACAGGGGCTCTGGGGCAAGTGAGGCTCTGTCTTCTTGGTGCTTGGGGGGGGGTCAACAGTGGGAGGGCTTCTAGTGTCCTGGCCCCACTGGTGGACCTCCTGATGGTACCTGGTATTTCTGGCCACTGTGTTGGACTGGAGGGGCCATTGGGCTGATCCAACATTGGTGTCACTTATGTTCTTATGTCTGTGTGAACTAGTAGATTAGTGGCGCTTGTTAACTCTGTCAAGAATGTCTCCTGTAACTAAGGCCAGGGAGTGTGCGCTCTTCTGATCTCTCATGGCCTTCAAAGGAAGTCAAATGATAAACATTCTCACTGTAGTAACTGAACTGTAGTAACCTGTCTATGCACTATGTAACCATGACATGTGAATGTGGGCTGGATCAGAGTTCTTGTCATTCACAGCTTTGCAATTAATGTTATTTCTGTCAAGAAGTTTCAACCATCCTGCAAACATTTCTGATTTCCCTCCTGAATCTACCCCCAGAACAGTTAGGGATGATGCAGTGCTTCCCCAAGGCAGCTGAGCCCCTCTTCGATCACTCCTGGAGGCAAGAAGGGACAGCCGAGATGTCAGTAGAAATGGGGGGAAGGGGGTCACCCCAGCCTCATGCCACCCCGGGGGCCGCTTGGGCTGAACTTCAGAACCCCATTACAGGTGATTCGTAGAGAAGCAGTTTGGTCTTTGTGGAGCCGCTCACCTGAATGACCAGGTACCTCTGAGGGTCTCGAGCCATTCGAGAGAATTCGGCAGCCAGCTCCTTGAACTTCGGCCGACTGTCTGCATCGATCATCCAACCTGGGGGAATAAGCAAGGAGAAGAGAAAAATAGCAGACGACAACGTAACAAGCAATAATATAACAAACTCCAGTGTTTTTGAGGAAGTAGAAGCTGAGGAACCATTTTGCCAAAGGGAAGTGGTTTTTCATGTCCACCGATTTGAGCGGGGACTCCGGTTTCTACCATTTTTAATGTCAAGACGTTCTAGGCCCCAGCTCACAGGACCAGAAAAGGGCAACTCGAATGATAAAAGGGTTGGAACACTTTCCCTGTGAGGAAAGGTTAAAGCACTTAGGGCTCTTTAGCTTGGAGAAACGATGACTGAGGGGTGACATGATTGAGGTTTATAAGATTATGCATGGGATAGAGCAGGTGGAGAAAGAGGTACTTTTCTCCCTTTCTCACAATACAAGAACTCGTGGGCACTCCATGAAATTGCTGAGCGGTCGGGTTAGAACGGATAAAAGGAAGTCCTTCTTCACCCAAAGAGTCATGAACACATGGAATTCACATGTCTTACGTGTGCACTGCCTTTGCGGAGGCATTTCCCTGCATTCTTATTTTCCTCTTTGACCTTCCAAGCTTCCCATTTCTCACTCAGTTGCCTGAGATATCTGGCAGCTCTGTTCTCCAGATGTGCACGGGCCCTGCATGTCTTAAGAACATAAGAACATAAGAGACGCCAATGTTGGATCAGGCCAAAGGCCCATCCAGTCCAACACTCTGTATCACACAGTGGCCAGAAATACCAGGGGCCATCAGGAGGTCCAGCAGTGGGGTCAGGACACTAGAAGCCCTCCCACTGTTGACCCCCCCAAGCACCAAGATGACAGAGCATCCCTTGCCCCAGAGCCCCTATCTATACCTTGTGGCTAATAGCCACTGATGAACCTCTGCTCCATACTCATGTCTCTTACTCATATCTGCTCTCCGTTTTTACTTCGTCTGACCTTTGGCACTACGATTTGGAACAGCAACAACAACTAATAACCTCATAACTTCCAGCCCAACTTGCAGCTCGGTTGCTTGACTGGGCTGTTTTTGCTTTGCAGCCCCTGCTTCTCTCTAATCCTCCAAATGTCACATGTCCCCGTCTCTGACAACCCCTCCCATGTTCCCAAAAATTCTTATCACAGGAGAAAAGGAGCACCGATGCTCAGTTTTGCAGAAACGCCCCGAGGGGACTGCTGTTCAATATGATGAGTCCCTGATCTTTCTGCCCATCTTGTGACGGGTCTCCCACATCATTTAAGTGTACCTGCTAGAGAAGATTATATAGTGCAACGGTCCACTGCAGTATATAATTGCAGTATATAAAATATACAGTATGCAGTATATGCAATATGCAATATGTAGTATATGCAATATGCAGTATATAAAATATATAGTATGCAGTATATAAAATATACATTGCAGTATATAAAACCCAGGGGATGTACTATCCCACTATGGAGCTGCGGTGGCTCAAGTGGTTAAGACGCTGAACTGCAGGCTGTGGAAGGTCAGTAGTTCAGCGGTTCAAGACCCAGGTGCCGCAAGACAGGGTGAGCTCCTGTCTCTAGTTCCAGCTCCTGCCAACCTAGCAGTTCGAAAGCAAGAAATGGCAAGTAGATAAATAGGGACCACTTCGGTGGGAAGGTAACAGCGTTCCGTGCACCTTGGTGTTTAGTCATGCCGGCCACATGACCACGGAAACGTCTTCGGACAGCGCTGGCTCTTCGGCTTTGAAACGGAGATGAGCACCGCAACCCTAGAGTCGGATTCGACTGGCTTTCGAGCAAGGGGAACCTTTACCTTTACCTATATAAAACCCAACTGATTGACTATACCTGCTATTTAGACTTGTTTCCTTTACTATGCAAGCACATCTAGTTTCTTCTTACTCTCCCCCCCTTCTTACGGAGGCTCATTAGAAATGGTTTCTTCCCCCCCTCCCAGTTCTCACTTCCCTGCTTCTTGACAGAGAGCACAGAGTATTAGCAATAGCTACGGTGTACCCAGGAATAGCCCCTAGTTTATGTTAGGGAAAGTCTCTTCCAGGAAAAAGATTATTTCCAGCAATCGTTGAGGCATCTGTCATTGTTCGTCAGGAAGGCTGCGTTCACACACACTAAATAATCCACTTCCAATCCACTTTAAATGCACTTTCCAACTGGATTTTACTGAGGCTGCGGTCACACGGCAAGCTCACCGCGCTTTGCTCCCACTGTAGATTTGATCGGGGATATTTTTTAGCGGGTTCAGATGAAGAGAGAAGAAGAGAAGAGATTGGATTTATGCCCCGCCCTTCACTACTCAAAGGGGTCTCAGAGCGGCTTACAAACTCCTTTCCCTTCCCCTCCCTACAACAGACACCCTGTGAGGTAGGTGGGGTTGAGAGAGTTCTGACACAAACTGCTCTTTGTCAAGAACAGCTGTGCCAGAGCTTGGGACTGACCCAATGTCACATCAGCTGCTGCATCTGGAGGAGTGGGGAATCAAACCCGGTTCTCCCAGATTAGAGTCCGCGCACTTAACCACCACACCACACTGGCTCTGCCCAAGAAGAAGATGAGAAGAGATTGGATTTATGCCCCGCCCTTCACTACTCAAAGGGGTCTCAGAGCGGCTTACAAACTCCTTTCCCTTCCCCTCCCTACAACAGACACCCTGTGAAGTAGGCGGGGCTGAGAGAACTCTGAGAGGAAAAGAGATTGGATTTATACCCCATGGCCCTTCACTACCCAAAGGAGTCTCAGAGCGGCTGACAAACTCCTTTCCCTTCCCTTCCCCACAACAGACAGCCTGGGAGGCAGGTGGGGCTGAGAGAGCTCTTGACAGAAACTGCTCTTTTTCAAGGATAGCTCTGAGAGAACTATGGCTTGCCCAAGGTCATCCAGCCAGGTGCAAGTGGAGGAGTGGGGAATCAAACCCGGTTCTCACAGATTAGAGTCCGCGCACTTCACCACGACACCAAACAGATGATCACATATCCCTTCCCCAACTGCTTGCACTGCACGACGAGGCTCCAGGCACCATCCAGACAGCCGCGTTGCCCAAGTGGTGGCGCGATATT